GTGCAAGTCTAAAACGCTTGCTTCTATTTTTTTTTTTTTTTTAGCACCACGCTCATTTTTTTTAAATAAGCTATTTATATTAAGTTTCAAACACGATTTAAAACCCCTTTTTTAACCTTTTTTTCATGAAAAAATCAATTTCGAAAGAAAACTATGTTTTAAAATTTTATGTTATTTGCTTCAATTTTTGAAAATAATTAAAATTTAATTATTTTATAAGATATCATAAAATCTAAAAAAACTATACAATAATCACTTTTTATTATTTTAACTGAACATCTACTTTTTATAAAATCCTTACAAATTTTTAAATAATTTAAAAATTACTTATTTATTAATCTTAAATAAACAACAGTAGCAAGCCTTATCTCACTAAGTAGGATTGGCTATATGGATTATATACGCCGTTATGTTTTATCATTTATTAAGTTTTTAGAAATATTATTAATTAAAAAGTCTCACTCAACAACCTCCATAAGTTTTCTGTTCGATCTTCCTCTACTCTTCTTGATAGGGCTCAAAGTCATTTGTTCCATCTACTCACAAGTGCCTCCTGTGATCTTCTTTGTACATGTCCGAACCATCTCAAATGATTTTTTATTATTTTTTCTTCAATAGGTGTCATACCCACTTTTTTCTGTATTCACTCATTTTGAATTTTATCTTTATGTGTATATCCACACATCTATCTCAACATTCTCATCTCTACTACCCCAACTTTATACTCTTGCTGTTTCTTCAAAACCCAACATTTACTACCATATAAAATTGCTAGTTTTATAGCAGTTCAATAAAACTTTCCTTTAAGCTTATTAGATACTTTATGATCTCAAATAACTCCTTTAGCCTTTTTTCAATTAAACCACCTCGCTTATATCCTATATATAATATCTCTATCAATGTCTCTTTTTGTTGAATAATTGCTTCCAAATATTTAAACTTTTCTACTTGAGGCATGGTTTGATCATCGAATTTCACTTCTAAGTGACTACTCACTGACTCTAATGTCTTCTTTCATGACTCAAGTTTATAATTTATCTCTTCTCTTGTATCTACAATAAGAATTATATTATCCACAAAAAGTATGTATTTAGGAATTTCCTCTTGAATATGCTCAATCAAAACATCTAACACTAAATCTAACAAATAAGGACTCAAAAATGATCATTGATGCAATCCAATCTTTATAAAAAAAATCTTTTGTTTCATCACCAAGCATTTTTATATTAGTTGTTGTCCCCTTATACATATCTTGTATAGTTCGAATATAGGCAACCCGGACACCCTTCTTTTCCAAAGTCTTCCAAAGTATTTCTCTCAGTATATAATCATAAGCTTTTTTTAAATCAAAGAAAATCATATGTAAATTTTTGCCCTTACATTGATACTTTTTCATTAATTCACTTAGTAGATAAATCGCTTTTGTAGTCGCTCTCCCTGGCATGAAACTAAACTGATTCTTCGAAATCCCAGTTTCCAATCTCAACATATGCTTAATCACTCTTTCTCATAATTTCATAGTATGACTCATAAGTTTAATCCCTCTGTAGTTAGTGCAATTTTAGATATCCCCTTTATTTTTATAAATAGGAGCTAAGATGCTTCTCCTCTAATAGTCTGACATTCTCTTGAATTGTAAGATCTCATTAAATAAATTAGTTAACCATCTCACTCCTTCTTTACCCAAACATTTTCACATTTCAATAAGGATACAATTAGGTCCATTAGCTTTACCATTTGTCATTTTTTTAAGAGCTTCTTTCACTTTCCAAGCTCATATTCTTCAATAAAAAGACAAATTTTGCTCACTTTCAGAATTTACTAAATCTTTCAAGTTAATTAACAACCCCTATCATCATTGAAAATTTTAGAAAAATATGTCTCCTATCTGTCTTTATTGTCATTATCTGTGACCAAAACATTTTCCTCTTCATCCTTTATACATCTTACTTATTCCCAATCTCTTGATTTTCTTTCCTTACTCTTAGCAATCTTATACATTTTTTTTCTCCATCCATTATCCCAAGATCATTATAAAACTTTTCAAATGTTTTAGAACGGGTTTCACTCACGGCCTTCTTAGTTTTCCCTTTTAGCCATACGATACTTTTTCCAATTTTTATGATTATTACACAAATGAATGGCTTTAAAACACTCCTTCTTATACTTAATTTTTTTCTGTATGCTATCATTTTACCACCAAGACTCCTTATCACTCAGACCAAAACCTCTTGATTCTCCCAAAACTTCTTTTACAACGTTCTTTACCTTTATAACTAAGTCTTCCCGCAAGATATTAGCACTTTTTCAACCCTCCTAAATTCTTTTGGCCAAGAGATTTCTCTCAAAAATTTCTCTCTTTTCACTTTTTAATTGCCATCACCTAATCCTTAGAGTTATTACTTGAGGACGCTTTTTATTTTTACTCATAATGCATATATCAAGGACAAAGATCCTGTGTTGTGTTGTAACAGTATCCCTAAGAATCACCTTATAGTTTTTATAAAATCTTCTATCCGTGTTCCTTACTAAAAAAAATTCAATCTGTGACCTTGAAGCTCCACTTTTATAAGTAATGAAATACTCATCTCTCTTCTTGAAACAAGTATTAGCAATTTTGAAATCATATGCCAAAGAGAAATCCATGATATGTTATCCTTCATTATTTAGTTCCCCAAAACCTAAACTACCATGCGCCCTCGTATAATGACCTGCCTCCCTCCCAACATGTCCATTAAAGTCTCCTCCAATAAAGATCTTTTCATTATGTGGTATGCTTTCAATCAACCTCTCAAAATCTTTCCAAAATAATTCTTTAAGACTAGCTTCTGTCCCAACTTGAAGTGCATAAACGCTAACAATATTGATAGTCTCCTGTTTGATGATCAATTTTAAAGAAATAATTCTATCCCCAATTCTGTTAACTTCTATCACGTTCTTTTTCCACTCTTTATCAATAATAATACCCACCTCATTGCATGTATTTACTTTCTCAATATACCAGAGTTTGAAATATTAGATATCCTTAACTTGTTCATCAACTCATTTAGTCTCTTGCTGGCACAAGATATTAATCTTAAATAAACATGTGCATAAATTTTTTTTCAAAAAAATATGATTAGTTCTTAATGGTCGGTCAAAGTTTATAAACCTTAAAAATGTTGGGTTTAATGGAGATGGGCTAAGGCTTTGTATTGGGCCAGATAAGGATCCAATAGTTAAAATGGTGAATGTTGATGTGCGTACCATTCATCATTTGAAATTGAACTTTCATCTAACATTGGAAGAATATAGCAGGTTTCCTCATCTCTATTGTCATAATTGATTCGAATCGATTTTTGGCCAGTTTTATCCCTATCACGGCCCAGATTCTAGGCTGGTTAAATCCTGATTGTCTTTTTCTTTTTTGGGAAAACATTACACGCACACTGTAGCATTTCATCATCTAAGAGTTCATAACTTTCAATGTTTACGATGCAGAATTCATAATTTACAAGGTTTTCCTTTTCCACCAAACGTATATTTCCAAACCATTTGACATGTGGCTGCCCATGCACGACAAGCCTTCCAAGACATGCACTTTAGCATCTCATCATTTAGTTGAAAAGAAAAAGCAATCAAAATTCATGTTGTCAACCATTTCCTATAGCCATGCCTATGCACCAATGAGTTCACAGGTTCTTCTTTCATTTTTTTTTTATTTTTCAATCCCCCACCTTTTTATTCTGAAGCATTTTTCCTCCCAAAATTATTCCCTTCCGCTTCTCACTTTTATGTTTTAAATATGTACTACTTCACGTGTTTAAAAGGCATGAGTTATAAATTCGGAATGTGGTGGTGATAGAGATGACGGTGGTAGAGGCAAAAGCAATGGATGAAAGAAGGGAGTTGGTAGTAACAGTGGCAGAGAGATCTTTTCTAGTGAACACGGTTTTGGTGACTAGAAGAAAAAAGGAGTAGGGGAATGAGAAGCGTCCAAGCGTGATGAACACCAAGGCTAGTGTCTAGCATACGGATTCTCTTCTTAGCCTTAACTCTTCAGGGTTTTTATCATATAATGAAGAAAATGATGATATTATGAAGAGGTTGGAAAGGATATTTCAAGAAGCTTAATGCTAAGCAAAGTAATGTCGATTCTGATAGCACTGAAGATGATGGCACGATGCGAGATCAGGCAAGGTTAAATCCCAAAACTAGAAGGATGAGCAGAACAACATGTAGCTTGGTGTCGTCCCTGGATGAATTAGTTGATTATTAAGGTCCCGTTTGGTTATTAGAAAATAATGAAATAGAATAAATTGAAAAAATAAAAAAATTGAATTAAATCACTTTTTTCTTCATGGTAAGTATGATAAACTTATTAATGTGAGAATCATCATATCCTTTAAAAATTTTATGAATCATAATTCCTACCCCTATAAACTAAATTACCCATCATTCTTATGAATGTGCTCACCCACCCATCTTGATCATCTTATTTATACATTTATTTTTTTTAATTTATTATATTTCTTTCTAATAACTAAACAAGACCTAAGCTGTTTGGCAGGAATATACCCCTTGGATTTCTTCGGCCATGTCCAATGTGTATATGGAACTGACTGATCTGATACATATTACACCCTTGAATGATGGTTATTTTGAGGTTTCACTTATGCAAAAGGAGAATTTGGAACATGCCGATCAAGAGGACTTTGGATAATTGATAATCATTATCTTTTGATCCAGCACTGGAGGCCAAATTTTAATCCATGAAAAGTTGAGGGGCGACACTGGTTTGCTACTTGGATTCAAATACCAAATTTATTTATAGAGTTGTATGACGTGGAGTCTCCGACAAATTGGAAACATGGTAGGGAAATGGTGAATGCCAACGCCATCGAAGTCCTTCAAACCTTTTAGTTTTCTTAAGAAAAATTAAAGAAAATGGTATATCCACCTAGAAATCATGACTTGTGTTTTCACCAAAATTCCTTTAAAACATAATTCCCGGGAGAGTCTGCTGCTAAACTGCAATGGTTTAACACGAAAAAACAAACAGCACTGACCAGTGTAACCAATAATTGGATTTGGAAGTCACTATCGGACAAAAGTCCAACTCCAAGACATGATGAGTTCCTAAGCCCATGCGAATCATCCAAAACCTAAACATAAACAAATATTATGTGCCAGTGGTCATAATATCCAGCAATCCGTCAACAAGGTAAGCTGTGGATTCATGTTTTTCCTTCCTTTTTTTTTTTTTTTTGGAGGTATGGCAGCAGATTAATATTAATCAGAATCAGAATCGGCAACAGCGGAGGATCTGACTTTTCTAATTGAATTCTCATGATATCCATCATTTTCGTCATCCTCCTCGTTTTTCTCGTTAATAATGCCTGTAAAATTATTGTTTGTAAACTTTTCAGGTATTTGACCCCAAAAAAAAAAAAATTTTAAGGTACAAGGAAATGAAAAGGACAATACGTAAAAGCATAACACCTTTCTTTATCAGCAGAACCTCCAGCGTTTTTGTGGTAAAATCATCTTTCCCTCCCAGATCTTGAAACCCAACCAATCTATCTACTGCAATCCCTTGTCTGGAAAAAAGATAAAAAACGCGTCAGTTATGCTTGTGGTAATTTGCATCTATTCCATACTCATGAAGCAGGTTGTATCTTGTAATCAGCGTATAATATATCTTTGCATTCTTTTCTTTCTGGGGATGTTTCGAACCAGGGGATTCGCAGACTGGAGAAAAGGTTTGTTTTGAGGGGCTTTTGGTTGACGAAATCTTACATTTCTAGGAATGATCACCTTCCCAATAATATAGTATTCTGTTCACCACAAATATCCCTGAAAATATTGTTAACACTCCTGGGAATGTGAGAATTTTTGAAAATCGCCCCTACCCGTTTCTAAGAAGATAAAAAGGCTGAAGTATGAAGATGAATGAAACATTAAGAAATGATAAAAAAAATTGCAAGAGAAACGTACCGAAGTCCAAATTAAACAACATAGTTACCCAAAAAAAAAAAAAAAAATGTTCAACGATCACCGAAAGCATTTACTTACAAATCAATATGATTAATGCAGTTTTGCTAATGCAGAAAATGAAAGCAATGAACTTCTATATTGTGTTGCTTAATATCAACGCTCAAGAAGCTTTGGTTGCGGGAACCCGGAAGGAGAAAAAAACAGAATCTTTGGATAACTGTGACCATTGCAGACAAATATTCAAAAATAATTTAAAGAAACACTGAAGGAAGGGGGAGGGGGGGAACCCTCTTCTGGCAGTAAAAATATACAAGGGTTGAAATTGGCATAGTGTTGTGTAGAACAGAGAAGACTATAGAAGAATAAAAGAGGAAAGAAAAGAATTCAGGGCAAAAGAGAGTTTCCTGAATAGTACGCAGAATATTATTGAACATGAGAGATTTATGTACAAGGATATCCCTTATATAGGAATTACATAGATCTAACAGAACTAACTGACGGTCTGGTTTAATTCTAATTATCCTATTTACACATCAATACCCTCCCTTAAGAACCCTTGACCTCAAGGGCTAGGAACTACAAAAGTAGGGTGTACTGAAACAAGGAAATCCAGCTTGCTTCTTCATCCAGAAGACCCTTCCACTGCACAAGTACCTCTGTAATGATCCTGCCCTTTTTCCTGCCCACTCGTTCATTCAATATTCTTTCCAAAATCAGATCTGAAGGAGGCTCTGGCCCATCAAGAGGGGGTTGCCACTCCTTCACAGAAGGATCAGGGGCATAATTTGAGCAAGGATGCATGAAAAGTGGAGTAACCCTTGATTCTGGAGGTAACTCCAGCTTATATGCCATTGGACCTATCTTTTTACAGATTCTATAAGGTCCAAAATACCTTGGAGCTAATTTCTGATAGCTCCTTGATGCTGCAGAAATTTGACAATAAGGTTGCAACTTGAGAAACACCCACTGTCCCACCTCAAACTCTCCATCACTCCTGCGCAAATCAGCCTTTCGCTTCATTCTGTTCACAGCCCTGTTGAGGTGATATTTTGCCATCTCTAAAGCCTCTTCTCTCGCTGAAAAAGTTCTATCAACAGCTTCCACAGACACATTGCCAGGCAAATAGGGCACATGCATTGGGGGCACCTGTCCATATAATAATTCATATGGTGTAGTGATGGTTGAAGTATGGAAAGAAGTATTATACCACCACTCAGCCAAAGAGAGCCACTTACTCCACTCTTTTGGTTTTTTTTCCAACGCATACACCTTAAGTAATTCTCCAAACATCTATTAAGTACCTCAGACTGACCATCCGTTTGTGAATGATAAGAGGAAGTAAGCTTGTGTTCTACACCCCAGAACCTTCAAAAATTCCTTCCAAAAATTACTGATAAAAAGGTCTCTATCACTTATAATCTCAATTGGAGCTCCTGTAGTTTGCCAATATGATCAGGGAGCTTGTGCCAAGGTAGATGCTGTGAAAGGATGAGATAATGGCAGAATATGTGCATGCTTGCTACAACGATCAATAATTACCCAAATTGTGCCCTTGCCATTTGACTTGGGTAATCCCTCAATAAAATCCACGGTGACACTTTCCCAAACCTTGCACAAAATAAGAAGAGGCTGCAGTAATCCAGGATAAGCCACTAATTCAGATTTACACCGAGCACATGTATCACAATACTTCACAAAATCTTTAATATCCTGAAATAATTTCTGCCACCAAAACAGTTTCTTGACCCTTTGATAAGCAGCTTGCACAGCAGAACGTCCTCCTTGTGAACTAGCATGGAGCCATTCCAAAATTTTATGCCTCACACTTGGAATATTTCCCACTACTAATTTGCCATTCTTTCTTAAATACTGACCATCCCAAGAGTATTTACCTTCTGCACCTCCATGCTGTTGCAAATGAGCTTTTAAAACTCTCAAATCCACATCATCATCCCAACTCTTCTGAATTTCCAGAAAAAGGAAATCTGAGTGGGAATGAAGAGACACTTGAAATACCACATTTTTGGGCATCCTTGAAAGAGCATCAGCTCCATTATTGTCATTGCCCTTTTTGTAGTGTATTTCATAATCATAACCCATGCGCTTAGTCACCCAATACATTTGGAATGCTGTCTTTAATTTCTAATCTATCAAATATTTGAGACTTTGCTTATCAGTTTGGATAATAAAGCGCCTCCCTTCAAGATATTGGTGCCAACGCTCCACGGCTTGCACTACACCAAGTAATTCTTTCCCATGGATAGAAAGATTCAGGTGACAAGGGGCCAAGGCCTGGCTAAAAAAAGCTATAGGTTGACCCTATTGCATCAAAACAGCCCCAATTCCAGAATTGCAAACAAACTCCTAAGAAAAATCTGGAAGAGTGAGGTTAGGTGCTACAATTAAAGTCTCCTTCAATTTTCTGAAGGTGGCAGCTGCTATTTCTGACCAATGAAAGTTGTTTTTGTTCAGTGAATCAGTGAGAGGTCTAGTTAGGGAACCATAACCCCTAATAAACCTCACATAGTAACCTGCAAGTCCCAAGAATGACCTTAGTTGCTTTACTGTAGTTGGTTGTGGCCATTCCATGACAGCCTTGATCTTCTTTGGGTCAGTCGAGACTACTCCACTAATAATGTGTCCCAAGTATTCTAATTGTGTTGCAGCAAAGGTACACTTGTTTTCCTTCACAAAAAACAATGTTTCCTTAGAATTTCTAGAACTAACTGCAAGTGTTGTGTGTGAGATTCTAAACAGGAGCTATAAATTAGAATATCATCGAGAGAAAAAACCAAGACAAATTTCCTTAAATACTCCCTGAATATATTGTACATGGCACTCTCAAAAGTTGCAAGTGCATTAGTGAGCCCAACAGGCATTACTAACCACTCACTATGGCCTAAATGAGTGCAAAAAGCTGTTTTGTAGATGTCCTTGGGTTCCTTTTTGCAGAATAATAGGGTAGTTGTGACCATCTCTCAAGGAGGGAAGAGACTTGGGTTCCTTAAAAACATCTGTAAATTAAATTAATAATTCTTCAACAACTTCTGCAGAACCATTATTCCCCTATACTTGCAAACAATGAAACACTTCGTCACCATTTCAATAAATGCAACATAAACATCTATCCTCCAACCTCTAAATCATCTTCAATCTTCTTAAAATCAACAATCTTACAACCTGGTGGCTCATGAGGCTACATGCGACACTTTTTCCCATTATACTAAAAAGTCATAGATAAGTTGTCATAGTACCAATAAGCTTGATGAATGGTTTTAAGCCAAGATAAACCCAAAACCACATCATAGGCTATGACTTCCAAAATTTGAAAATCTGCTTCAAACTCTTCATCTTTCATTCTCCACTTAACTCCTTTTAAAACCCCAAAAACCTTCAATTTCCTTCCCCTTGAAACTTCAACTTCTGCAATGGGATGAGAATTTTCCTTCCAACCCAATTTCTAAGCCAAGGCATAATTGATGTAGGCATGTGAAGCCCCATTATCAATGAGAATCTGAATCTGCCACTTCCAACATACCCTTGAATTCTCATAGCCGAAGGTCCAACAGTTCCTTGAATTGCATGAAGAGAGATTTGAAGATATTCTGATTGTTCTAGTATGCATTCAGACCATTCAAGGACTTCCAAATCTTGCCCTGCATCATCTTCACCTTTTTCTTCTAATTCAATAAGCTGCAATTGCATTTTTTGCATCTAGGTACATATGTGGTCTCTAGAGAAGGGTTCACAACAGTAAAAATAAAGATTCTTGGCTCTCAACTCCTAAACCTCCTCTGGACTCAGCGTTTGAAGCTTCTGGCATTGCTTCATGTAGATCCAATAATTGAAATTGAAGGAACAGAGGCGAAAGAACTGTTCTTGGGTGCGAAGGAAGTAAAATTTAGAGATTGGACATTTTAAAACCATAATTGCTAGATGGAGTCCTCGCACGCCCCAACCTAGTCAAATCCCTCTATGCACATGGATAGGTCTCAAAAACACTATCTCTCCTTTGCGCGTCTTCGTATCTAGACCACTAAACTGAGCAACTGCGTGAATTGATGCCACTAGTTCTGACTCTCACCTTTTAGCGATTTAGCTCGTGTATCACTCAAAGCCCTTGGCTTAAACATGGGAACTCTGGGTCGAGAATTGCCGTGTATGTTGGCACTAGATAATCATCAGAAAGCCTGACCTTGCAAGCAATTGCATCGACTTCGTCATCGAAGTTGTCTAAAGAACCAGTTTGGCGAAGGTTCATCAATTCCTCCATCAGTGCTTCATACCGAGACCTAAATCTCATCTTTAATGCTTCAGCATACTCGGCCAAGTCCATCATGCATCCTCATCCACCAAGACTATGGCTTGATACCATTGAAAAGTTTTTTTATCCAAACAGATGCCTGCTACAATAACCTTCCAATCCTCCAGTGTACTGTCAACTTGGAAGTAATATTTGCATTTGAAGACCCACCCCAAGATATCGTCTCTTTGAAATCAGGAAAATTTCATCATGGTGAAGCGCGTGCAAGGTTGTAGTTGGTTGCTTTTGGTTCGGGTCAATCATGGCAACAACCATTGCTCGCATGGCTTCCATCAGAGGATTCATTGCAATCCCTGATTATTTGGGCTACTTGATTGGTAAGGGCTTGTACATTAGCCAGAAGACCTGCCAACTTGGAAAAGTCATCCTTTAAGGCACAAAGACAGTCATCATTGTGATCTGCCATGGTTCTTTGCTGTTTTTGTAGTCAAGTTTCTTGCATATAGTTCGAGCATCAACAGCTCTAATACCACTGTTGTGTAGAACAGAGAAGACTAGGAAAGAATTGAAGAGGAAAGAGAAGAATTGAGGGCAAAAGAGAGTTTCCTGAATAGCACACAGAATATTATTGAACATGAGAGATTTAGGTACAAGGATATCCCTTACATAGGAAACCAATGATCTAGTTTAATTCTAATTATCCTATTTACACATCACATAGTTTGGAGCACTTTTTGTGGGGAAAGCAAACTAGGTAAAGGAACTAAGAAGTGGTAATGTGAATCCTCAAATTGAGGGATGGAGATGGATTTCCTAGCGACCTGAGAACCAAGTGATGAGGGAGGTATAATGGGCAACATAAGTGATGAGCGACTGGAGCAGATGACAGAATTGATTCACATCAGCGAAGATGATCAATTGGAGGAGATAGCAGCATTGAGGAGCTATCGAGCAAAGGTTGATAATAGCATGTTCAAAGTGGAAAGTGCAAGTTTGCATCACGATCAAGCATTAGTGGTAGTAGTAGCATGCAAGACAAAGAAAAGCATGAGGTATAGCACGATGATTGCACAAAATTGTCTTTTCATCGTCAAAATTTTCCTATCATATGAATTATTCCCACCTCAAAGCCATTCTCCCTCATTCAACACCCCCCTTACAAAAAAATAATATCACAAATGAAAATGGAAGATTTTGATTCTTTTTTTTTTAATTAAAGGGGCAAGCACTAATAACCTGAGACTAAAGGCGGGATTAAACCCGTGAACTTCCATTTACAAGGGAGCTTGCATGCCACAAGGTTACAAGGCTAGTGGCAAATGGAAGATTTTGATCAATTTCTTAAATGCAACATTTTCAAAAATCTTTTTTGAAACTAGAACCAAACATTTGAATAAATTGATTCCATGAAACATTTCCAAGCATCCTCGAAATATTCCACAAACCAATGAGCCCCTTAGAATTCCGACCTTTATTCTTGTCTTCCTCTTGTGAGATCTAATAGAAACAGCCACTAGCCTCACCTGAACAATATGACACATGGCAAAGTCTTGACTACCAGCTTTGCAACAAAGAAGGGAGCATTCTGCATTTCGTATCAGTAATAAAATTCATCTCATTACTTTGGTATGGCAACATGTAATGTTGAATGAACATGCCTAATTTTGTATCTGCACATGAGCAGCATGAGAAAACACTAATTGTCACTATTGCAGGGTAATAGTAATAGGACCATTCAAGCTGACCTCTGCATCAAGCTTAATGAACTTCGTATCAACATGCACTGGAGCAAGGGACTTTAAATGCTTATCCACTATCCTGGAGACATTGATTGACTCAATAATATTAGTCATTTGCATGCATGCATGTCAAAGAGGTAGAGACAATATGATTTATTAAAGTCAGGCATACTTGCATCGATAAAACTCCTTATGATAGAAGTGACATATCACTTTCTCACTGCCAGTGACTTCACCTAAGAAATCCCCCTCAGTTATCTCCTTGTATTCCCCATGACCTTTCTTCTTCCATGACTCTCGTTTCTCTGCTTCTTTCTATTCAATATTAAGGAAAATTCAGTCATAAGTAATACAGTACTTAATGGATTTATGGAACAACAATAATCTGGATATCAGAGTTGATACTAATACACCTGGAGCACAAAATTATCACCTTAAGAGCTGCAATTCTATCTGCATGCAATTTCTCCAACTCTGGGTCCTAACATCAGCGTAGCATAGACCATTAAAATTCCTAACCAGGATACACACACACACACACACACATGATACAAGTGAAATGTTTGCTGAGCATACATCCATTAACTCATCAAGATCAACTTCCTGGTTTACAGAACTTGAAGTTTGTGCCTTCTCTTGAGCAAGCAATTCCTGCATGGATCACAATAGCATGGGTCACTTTACATAAACATGCTGCTGGCCAGGCTGCAAAACTGTGGGGGGCCAGAATTTGACAGGCACAGGCTGGGCTATCCTGCCTAAAAAACTGGCAGCTGGATCAGTTCATTAGCTAGCCTGCCAAATTTTGACTGTTACTTTTTCCCTTCTTTTCACTCTTCTCTTCTCCTTTCTTGAAAGCAAAATATATAATATCTTATTGTAAACATAAAATCACAATATTACATTTTTGTTAAAAAAAACAAAACCCACACATGGCATGAGTAACAAATTTGATATATCATGCATGGATCGAACCAAATGTTAGCGCCAACAATATGGGCAGCTCGTTTAAGCCCATTCTTGTAATGATTCAAGCTTGCAAAATCATATATTTTTAGCGTAACCTAGCTTATAAATCCATCCTTGTTAGGCCCGGTAAAAATATGCTCGGCCTCAGGCTGCCCCCCAAGCCCTCATTTTTAAAATGAAGAAACATGAATGTTCTATAATTCATTTTCCAAGTTAGTTCATGAATAAAACTAAGGTTGTTAGCCATGAACTCCATCTCCCCTTTGTTTCCTCGGTGAATTTGTTATTTAAAATATTTTCATGATAGTGTAATATTGTGAAACAATTATTGGTTTAGTTCTTTAATTTGTTAAGTAAGTTTAGGTGTGAATATTTGATTCCTCTTACTTTCAATTTAAATTTATATTGTTGTGAGTCTATTGGCTGTGCTAGTGGTTTTATGATTGAAGACTATAATTTTTTTATATATAGGACCATCTTGATGATTTGGAATTGGTTCTCTTCTCTCATCCTATCTACATATATTTTATACATGTATATCTTGAGTAATTAGCATGTAAAAGCTTGACTTATGATTGTGATATAATTAAGAATCTAGATTTGTTCTATTTATTTTGATTTTTAGAAGATTTTAATTAATTTGTAATGTTATAATGTTGAACTTTGTTTTAAAAAATTAATTTTTTTAATATAAGAGCTTATGAGCCTGGCCTTGATCCCTTTAAATAAGGGCCGGGTTTTAGAAAATGATTAAATTCAAGAAAACTGGATTTATGGGCTTGAGCCCCAAGCCTGCCCGTTCCCCAGCTATTGAATGCAAATGAATATGGGATGGCCTGACGGACCCAACCCATATTCCAAATTTGCTGCTGGCTATAACTAGACTGAAAAAAACTGCCGTTAGGAATAATTGGTAGCAAAAACTACAGCATAATATCAGTTTTCAAGAAGATACTAAATAGTAACAAAATTAGAAACTTGTTAAATAGAGAATAAATAGATCAATGACTCTCAAGAATACATAAAAAAAAATGTAAAGTAGAACTACTAAACTACCTGTGATATTCTATTCTCCATGCATCATGAAAATAGTTCTCTATCATCAAGATTTCATGAGCAAAAACAAAAGAAAATTATGGGGAAAAGTTTAACAGCTTACCATCAATATAGGTTAATAGCCAATAATTTTACTTCAGACGATGCATTGACAGCATCACTTTCATTTGGTTTGACACTAAATTAAAGGGGGGGGGATATAGGTTTGTAACAAGATTAGAGTTCTAAAAGGACTTCTGAAGACAAATTTAAATTTTGCCAAGGGACATCACAGAGTCATTCATCTTTGTAAACACATTGATTACCAAGTTTTGCAAGTTCACCTCAAACAATTTTGACCATACAAGCGAACGTAATACTCACTTTTTAATAAAGCATCCCCCAAACAATCAACCTTGTAATCACTAATTAAAACAAATAGAATCTAAAATCCAATAGCGAGCATGATTCTGTTGAGGGTGCATTGATGGGCCACATTGATTAAACAAATATATTCAGTAGAGAAGGAAGCAGATCTTTAAGCTAGTAATTAAGTAACCATGTGTATTTATCAAAAGATATCAAGTGGAACACAACGATTTCACACAAGAGAAACTCCAAACAGGTAGATCATCAGCAGTTATGCATACAAGAGCAATCTCCAGTCAACATGACAAACGAATTTTGAAAAATGAATGAGGTATTCTACTGTGATCTGTGGAGAGTGTTTTTTTCCACATGGGAGATCAAGTTAAGCTAATAAGAGCACAATGCCGGCTATGGCTTCATGGGAAGAGTAGGCATTAGACTCAACATCTTCCGACTCTTATTTTTGCATAAATCTTAAAGAATAAACATGGCAAATTCAAATCAACTTAGCCAGTTACTAAAGGAGTCAAAACCAGCCGAAAAATAAAATAAAAACTCAGTCATGAACCACGAGGGTTTGCTCACCACCAAGAATTGCAAACATATAGAAGATATATGATGGAGAAAGTTCCATTTCGAATAAAAATGACAACAGCGCTTTAGAAAATCAGGTTACAGTGGATAGAAATTTAAGCAACACGTAGAAAACAAAGAAATGGTTGAGGTACCTGTTGATAATCGCGGGCCGCGGCTGCCATAACATTTCCAAATGCCAAATTAGACAGCGTCGACTTCACTGTGTTCGGATCCATGTGGCAATGGAAACTATGTAATAGTTACAATTCTGCCAAGAATTCCACCGAAAAACTCAAGTCAACAGAGACAGAAGCTTATGATGAATCAGCGAATGTGTGGTCGATCGGAACCAGTGAAGTAGGAAGAACAGGAAGAGGCAGGGGAGTGGAGTCTTGTAATGAACCAGCCGAGCCCAACTGTAAAATTGATTTCGATCAGAGGTCAACTTAGATTGAGAAAAAAATGATTAAGCAAAAGTACATGAAGAGGCACCAGAAGCACGCGAAGGGGACGAACCTGAAGCACGCGAAGGGGGACGGACCTGAAGCAAACGTCGACCTCGAAAGAGACAGGGGTTTTCGAACTCGAAGGAGAGTGGAAAGATTGGTCGTGAGCACACCGAGAGGCCGAGAGGCCGAGAGCAACAGCGAGCAAGGACGGAAGGATTGAATCTTCAGATTTTACCGATCTAAAGGAGCAAATGCCGAACTGACGAACTCCAAGGAGATAGCGAAAGAAGCTGCGACGGCCGACTTGAAGGACCAAACCTCGGCCAACGAGACTGCAGTGGCTGGAGGCAACGATGGAAGGAGCTCCGCGCCGATCTGATGTCAGACGGAATCACTGAAATATAGTAGCACGTGTTTTAGACTCTTTATGTCATTTTATTTTTTGGGAGAAGGGGGAGAGAGATTTTAAATAATTCCTGATTTAGGAGGGGAGGAGAAGTAATTAATTTATGATTATCCCCTTGTAAATTGAATTTTATTTTTTTTTTCATATCGATCATCAATTTCATGTATAAAAGTAGTTCTTTTTTCAAAAAAAAAAACCAAAAAAGTGCATTCATAAGTTAACCAACACCATGATGAGACAAAATCATTGAGCAAATCCCTTTCATCATGTATTGTCTCTTAAGGGAGAGGTGGGGATTGATTAAAGATACAAAAAACTATATCTATGGAATGAGACAGCTTAACTAAATAATTAGTAGACAAATTCAAATTTATACCAAAATGATTAATGATTAAATTCCAATCTCTATGAAATAATAGTCTCACATCTTCAACCAAGTCTTTAAATGAGTGAGAATTATTGCATCCCTTGGTTAGCAGGAGCACAGCCTCATCAGAGTCACAAAAAATGTCCACAATACAAAAGCCTCTAGCCTAATAGAGATTTAGACCAAGTATAATAGCTAGAAGTTGAGAGATTGCAATGGGTACATTAATTAATTTACAATTAAAGCCTTCAACCTAATTCCCTTCTCTATCTCATATAGCACCACCACAACCACTAGTTTCATTAGGCAAGACAAATCCATCAACTTCAAGCATGACTGAGCCATCTCTAGGCAAGTTTCTTTTAGAATGTTTGGTTTTATAAGACAGGGAGGGAGCTAATTGAAATAAATCAGCATCCAAGCAAGCTCTAAAAAGCTAGATAAGGTAGTCTTCTATTCATGGTCTTTGTCATCATTAAAAATCTTCCTACATCTATCAACCCAAATGTCCTAACAAATATAACCAAAAAGACTTGGCTAAGTTACTTTTTTCATGTAACTTCATGGGTAAGATTCCATTAAACCTAATGTGCACTTACTAAGTTGGTGAAAATGCTCCAGTATTCCTCTTTAACCACCGCTTTTGACATATCCATGGCATTCAAAAAGTCACAAATTAGGTGCAGCAAGTCTTATATCATGTCCTGCACAATCAAAATTCCTCTCTGTGCCGTAGCTCATGTGTGAGTTTATCCATGTATGAATAACGACATGAAAGATTTTTTGTTTATTTTCCCCGCAATGAACCATCTTCACAGCATTTTTCAGATATTATCAGCATTTTGTCTTGTACCTACACAAAGAAAAGTAGGTTTGACATTAAAAGAACTATTCGTAGATGGTTTTCAAAAGTATTTATTATCTCCTCTCTCCCTACAAGGCAAGTGGGCACGAGAAAGATAAGCAACCCAAGACCTTTTATGATTCACATAGTCTAAAACTCTCTCATTTCTATTAATCAACCCCTCCCTTCTAAAACCAAGTTCAATGAAGGGAACATTAAACATTGAATAATTTTCAAATCAAAAAGAGGTAGATCTACAATTCCTAATCTTTTTCCCCACTCCTTCTTTGAATTTTTCCTATACATGACATTTCCCTCTCTACATAAAAGAGGAATTCTTCCTATTTTTAACTTTCAGCCCATTCTTAAGGCCACATTTATATTTTTCTCTTAACACTTTGACCTAGAATACTTCTTCATTGCAAAGTAAATTCCAACATCATAACAAAGGCTTCATTTTATTTTCTCAAATTCTTGATACCCAAACTACCTTCTTTCTTATCCCTGGTGATATATTCCTAAGAAATAAGATGAAGTTTTCTAGCATCTTCTTCTTCTCCCCAAAGGAATTGACGGCTCTCTTTTTTTCTAACTCATTCAAGAGTCTTTTTCGCAAAAGCATAGTTTGCATATAATAAGCCAGTAGTACATATAAGACTGCTCTATTTAAGGTTGCTCTTCCTACCATATTAAGAAATCTTCCTTTCCAACTAGACAACTTTCTTTGCTTATCCAAAATTGGAGCAAAAATTGGATATGAGACCTTTTTGTGTATCAGAGGGATCCCTGGATACTTCCTAAGATCACTCGTTAACCCTATACCCATTCTTCGACTCAAATTGTACTCTCTAAAGAAGTGAACTTTTTTAGAAAATCAAATCTTCATTTTATTTTTGTTCATCTTTTGACCAAAGGGTTCACAAAATCTTTCCATACAAGATATAATGACATTAACTTGAGTGGAGGTTGCCTCACCAAATAGGACCAAGTTATTAGCAAAGAAAAAATGAGATAATTTAGGACCTCATATGCAAGTTGAATAGTCTTTTGCTTATAGTCCCCTTTGTATTCTCTATTTTTCTTTTTATCCCCTTTGATTTTTCAAACTTGGTCAAGACTTATTTATCAAAATTGTGCACTGTACACATCGGCACACTGTGCCATGTTGCGACACATGGTACATCGAGCTAAATCTCACTTTAGCTCACCCACTTTGACCCGTTTGATTTAAATATAATCCTAGCTTGATCTTGAAACTAACCAATGATCAAAATGTCAACTAAAATCCGAAGAACATGATTAATTTAATTAATCAACTAATTTACTAATTTACCCTTTAATTAGTAATTTGATTTTAGATTTAAAACTTGAGATGTTATAGATGTTAAAGGCATATGGTATGGGTAACTTAAGCTTACACCGACTCTGAGTGAGATCTAAGAAGACCTAACCCAAGACCAAACACCAGGGCCACCTGTGCTATTGATAATACTAATGTGGACAGGAATAATAGTAACTGTAAAGGATGTCCTAAATTAAGACTTAATCATCACACTAACTATGGTTAATCAAGAACTAACCCAAATGGATTGTCCATTACGAGATTAATCTAAATGAATTCTTAACATGTATTTTTCACAAACTATTTAATACAAAGTGATCCTAAGTCTTTAAAATATTTTAAGAACTCATATCATTTAATTAAACATATGCGGAAGCATGATAATAACTATTTTTACTTGCACAAATATTTTGGCCCATTACTATAACACAAACATCAAAACACATTCTCAAGGGCCCAAAATGTCTTTCTATCCAACACAAAACCCATAGTGCATGTGGATCAAGAATATATTATCATAATTGGCAATATCATAAACTAAATACACATATCAACATAAAAGGAGAGAGATCTACAGAAGTGATTATTATCACTTGGCCTAATGCTCCTTTCCTCTGTTCTTCTCAGATGAGTTAGCTCCTGTAATATGTTAAAAGAGAGGATGAGTACAACCACTCAATAACCAAGGTACATCTAAGTTATACAAATGCATGATAATTAATTATGAATGCAAGTGGCCAATAAATTAATTAAGGTGACCATTCAAACAATCACATTAATAACATGTTAATCACATTAATATTTAACTCATGTGAATAATTTCAAGAATAAAGTCAAGTACAAAATTTGCACAAATAACCACATATACATTATTCACATAATTACTACATGTTCTCATTTCTACAATTATAATCATATTCTCAACATAACCATCAATCACTCAAATGGCATGATAATAATAATATGCATGATCGATTTCTTCCTTATATCCCCCCTTATTTCCTCTGACATGAAATTGTGAGCCAACAACCGAAAAGGATCATCCATGTGGTGAGACTACCCAAGGCCTTAATCATATCATGAGAGGCTACCGGGCTAGGGTTACCTTACTCACTTATGAATATGGTTTCCCCCAAATCACACACTATGGGGTGTCATACTCAAAACTAGCTCTACCCAAAACTCCAGGTAGGCCAGTAGGGTTAAATCCCTTAATAGGAACAATGCTACAATATCTTACAAGGTAAGTAGCGGCTATAACCCCTAGGATTATTGGCTAATAGCCAAGTACCATATAGATTTTGCATAACCGCTAACTCCTTCATTAAGGCGAATTCCCGCCATATGATCATACCCATGAGAAAATGCATTTCAAAAATTCATATATATATATATATATATATTTCAAAATTATCCCACATGCTCATCAACTTTCATCACTGTGCATAATCCACAACTTATAACTAAGAGTGTACACATAATCATCAACCATCAATCTCATTACTCACAAGTCATAAAGTTTCAGCAAAGTCACATGCATTACAAACAATTATTTCAAATTTAGATATATATATATATATATATATTCTTTTGTTTCACTAACATAATTAATTAATTAACCTACAAATGCATAAAATAGATTTTCCCCGGTTACCTCAACCTTTGAGAGGTCAAAGGTTACCCCTCAAGTTACAACACTTCCAAAGCTTTCCAAAGCTTGAATGGTGTCAAAAGAAATTAATTACAATTGATCATATCCCAATGTGTCAATAATACTATTAACACAATTTTCACTCATACTCTAATACCTAAGTATTTATTTATTTTATTTCATTTTTTTAAGAATTTAGTCTTAGTCTCTTAAATTTAAAATTTAATTTCATATATTTGAACCTATCTATTTGGTTCAATAGTCTCCTTCACAATAATTTCATCCAAATAATTTTCTAATATCAAAATTTCTCTTTTTATTCCAAAAATTCGCACATAAAAATACCAAAAAATTGCAAACTTGATTTCAAGCCTAGAATCATTATTCTATAGCCATAATAATTTATTTCTCATCTCAAATAATCATCTAAATATCAACAAATCAATTTATATTTTAGATTTAACCAAAAATCTACCCATAAAAATCTAGGGATAACTTAAATGCCTCAAATTCCAATTCTATCAATAAAATAATACTCTAGAATATTTATTACACTACTAACAATCTCAAAAACAATATTTATTCAACATAAATTCATCCCTCTTCCAAATCCTAAATTTTCTACCACCACAAAATCAGAAACCAAAGAGAAAAGATGACTAAGAAAAATGTTTAGAACACTTACTTAGTTTTAGAATACTTAAAATCTCATATGAAGTATCCTATTATGGAGCTTCACCTTTTAAATCAGTCAGCCTCTCCATCAGCGTCGCTCGCTCTCTCGCTCGATCTCT